GGTGCCAGGACAGCAGCGTGGGAAGCAGCCGGGGCCTGATCCAGGTGTGTGGATGTGAGGTGATGGAAGGTCTCCAGCATCCACCCTGGCATCTCTCTGTGGGGTGGTGGCCACCGTTGGCTGCATGGAACAAGAGATAAGGGGACCTTGGCCATGGCATGACGTGGGGGTGGCAGGCCGGGGGGGGGACCACATCCTGAGGCTTGAGGTTGGGGGCTGCTGGGCTCTGTGGCCACCCGATGGAGAGTGGCGTGGCTGGGCGCTGGCCACTAGCCATTCCCTGAGAGGGACCGTGGCCACCAGCTGTCCCCCAAGAGGGACCCAGCCTTGTTCCCAGGGTGGGACCAGAGGTCCCTGCTGTGCCACATCACGGCACGATGGGCAGGTGGGGCCGTTCCCAGGTGGGAAGGGACAGTGCGATAAGATGGGGCAATGGGGCTGGTCCCCTCCACAGCGTGGGACAATCACCAGATGTTGGTGGCAGGGAGGGTGACGCCAAGGTCCCCGGTGGTGGCGGGTGCTATAAGAAGGGTTGAGCAGCCTCCCCACAGCACCTTTGGACAGAGCAACCATGCTGGGAGCCGTGTGTCTCGCTGTGCTGCTGGGCTATGGTGGGTACGGGTGGCGGGGAGGGGATGGGGTGGCCGAGAAGGGACCCCAGCGCCTGCCGTGGCCCTGGGCACAGGGTCGCAGGCGGCCACTGAGGTCCCTGTGCTGGGTGTCATACAGCCTACGGATGCGGTCAGCCGGCCGTGCCACCACTCCTCGGCAACCGGGTGGTGGGCGGTGAAGATGCCCGTGCCCACAGCTGGCCATGGCAGGTAAGGGGAGGTGGGGGGGGACAGGGATGGGGATGGGGACAGGGACATCTCCTCTCTGACACTGTGCCCCTGCCCTGGCAGATCTCACTGCAGTACAGCCGCTACGGGGCTTGGCACCACACGTGCGGCGGGACCCTCATTGCCTCCAACTGGGTGCTGACAGCCGCCCACTGCATCAGGTGGGTGCCAGGGTGCTGGGGGGAGGTTGGGGTGTCCACACTATTGGGGGCTAGAGGTTTGTGGAGACTGACACCCCCTCTCTTCTCCCCCGGCAGCTCTAGCATGACGTACCGTGTGGTGCTGGGCAAGCAGGTCCTGTCGGAGGAGGACGAGGCGGGCTCTCTGGCCGTGGAGGTGGACAAGATCATCGTCCATGAGAACTGGAACTCCTTCTTCATCATGTAGGGATGGGACACGGTGGGGGAGGGGCAGGAGGCATCAGGGCTTGGGGTGCCCCTTCCACTCCCACGGCTCAGGGTCCACCTTCCACTCCCACAGCTCAGGGTGCCCCTTCCAATTCCATGGCTCGGGGTGTCCCTTCTTTCCCCACAGCTCTGTTCTCCCCACAGCAACGACATTGCCCTGATCAAGCTGGCGCAGGAGGTGGAGCAGACCGACACCATCCAGGCTGCCTGCCTGCCACCTGCCGGCCTGACCCTGGAGAACGACTACCCCTGCTACATCACTGGCTGGGGACGCATCCGGAGTAAGCTGGGGGTCTCCAGGGGAAGGAGTCCGGGGGTGGGGGGCGCAGGGTGCAAGATGTGGCTGTCTCTGCAGCAAATGGACCCCTGGCTGACGTCCTGCAGCAAGCCCTGCTACCCGTGGTGGACTACGAGACCTGCTCGCAGCGGGACTGGTGGGGCAGCAATGTGCGGCCCACCATGGTCTGCGCCGGCGGTGACGGCGTTGTCTCCGGCTGCAACGTGAGTGTCGTCCCCATGGGGATGAGGACGGGGTCCAGGAGGGCGGCGGGGGTGGCTGGAGCTGGTCTGGAGCGTCTGTCCGTCCATCCATCCATGCAGGGCGATTCTGGTGGCCCCCTGAACTGCCAGCGCAACGGGCTCTGGGAGGTGGATGGCATCGTCAGCTTTGGCTCCGGGCTGGGCTGCAACACGGCCAAGAAGCCCACCGTCTTCACCCGGGTGTCTGCCTACATCGACTGGATCAACGAGGTGGGTGCCCCGGGCTTTGTACCCCTGGAAAGACTCACTGTGTTGTCGTTGCCCCCACCTGGCTGAAGGTCTCACCATGAATCCCTCTGTGTCTTCTTGTTGGCAGAAAATGAGTGCAAACTGAGGTGGCGGCACGTGGTGTGGAAAGTCTGGAGAGGGATAAAGGCAAAAGTGTTGAGCTGGTCTCGTGTGTCCTGCTGGTTTTTTTTTGGGGGGTGAGGCATGCAGCAGAGCCGGGGGCTGCCTTTGGTTCTGCCAGTGTGCTCGTGACGGTCCCCCAGGAGTCATGGAGCGGGGCTGGTAGGGGTCCTGAGGAAGGCAGGGTGGGCAGCCATCCCACAAGGTGCCCCTGGTCGTGGGGAGGGGGTGGTGGGAGCCATGGCTGTGGGGCTGAGGGGCTGGAGGCTGGGCTGGGGTGTTGAGGAGAGTGGACCAGGGTCTGGCTGGGTGGTCCAGAGGGGGTTCTAAGGAGCCACTTGGCTCTGGGCAACTTGGGAGGTGCTAGCATGCTTTAGGAGAGCGGGCCGGACCCGGGATGTCTGGGAGAACCTTGGGCTTCCTGTGGACAGCTGATTTTTGAGGGGTCTAGAGGGAACTGGGGATGGTCCCGGGGCGCAGAGTGTTCCTGGAAAGTGCTCAAGGTTGGTGCTGGTTCCCCTGGGAGCTGTGTGGCATTGCCATCTCGCATTCCAGGAGCTGGGACGTGACCCAGAAGCTGAGGGTCTTATTGTGGGTTTATTTCTCTGTGGCTGGAGAAAGAAGGTAGGCGGTGGGGGGCCAGTGGGGTGGTGTGTGTCCCCAGGAGGAGCCAGGGCTGCCATTGGGCAGACATGGGGTTTGCTGGGGAACGAGGTGGCCGTGTGTGAAGGCATCAGGTGGGAAGAGTCTGTCCGGGAGGTGTGGATGGGTCCCACATGGGGACCCCCCATGCAGAGCTGCCCACCATCACCAAAGGCGATGGTGATGGCACACCGTGGTCTTCTGGTGGCTGCCGGAGCCCAGCGGGGAGCGCAGCGGTGGGAGGAGGACGAAGAGCAGAGACAGATGGCAGAATCTTGAGCTCAGTGAGGGACATGATGGATGGTGTCCAGTGTAGGAGCAATGCTGTCATGGGAACAGCAAGGGACACCATCTCTGACGCGTCAAGTGACACCATCACTGCACCAGCAAGCGGCACTGTCACCGGCCTGGCGCGTGACACTGGTGCCTGTGCCAGATCTGCAGTGGGCACCAGGCATTCAGAGGCGAGCACTGGGGCTCTCTGAGCTGCTGGCCAGGGCTCCAGCTTGGCTGGGGCAGGGTTGGGGGTTCCTCTGGGCACCGTGCAGCCCCTGCTGGGGTGTAGTGGGCAAAGAAGGGGAACGGGCTGGGAATGTGTTGCTGTGTCTGGAAAGAGGAACCTGCCTGTTCTCATCATTCCGTGGGATATTAAAGTCTGATGTCTGTGACGTGTAGTGAAGGATGCTCAGTCTGCTTTGCCAGGGGGGTCCCATCATGGTGTTTGGAGTGGAGGTGGGGCTGGGTGGTCAGAGGGCTGGAGTGGGGCCAGCGGCAATGGTGTGGTGGGATCTGTGCCACCCAGGATGGGAAGCAGAAGGCTGTGTTGGTGAACTCGAGCAATGTGGGGTGGCCCCTTTCCTTGGCGGAGTGGTATAGAATGTGGCGTTGGGAAGAAGGGACTGGGAGGTGGGACCTTTGGCACAGCCTGTCATATCATGATGTGTTGTCATGTCATAAGTGTTCATAACCCTCTGTAAACGTCTGTGTCCGCTCCTTGGTGGTGCCCTGGTGGGGGTGGTTGCCAGCAGGCTGTCCCCTGCACAGCCATTGATGGTGGGGACGGAGCGGGACTGTGGCCAGTAACGCCACCCACTGTGACATGTGTGGCCCCAATAAAAGAGGTGCTCCCTCTGAGGACATGGTGGTGGGCGATGGTCCGTGCAAGAGACGTGACTGGTCCGCAGGGGTCTGCAGGGTTTCGTGGGGGTCTACAGTGTTTCATTGAGGACTGCAGGGGTCTGTACGGATCTGTAAGGGTTCGTAGGGTTCTGTAGGGGTCTGTAAAGGTCTGTAGGGTTTTTTAGGAGTCTGCAGGGTTTCATAGGGGTTTGCAGGGGTCTGGGTTGTGGTATCTCTAGTGGTTCCTTATAGGTCTGGGGGTTCCATAGGAGTTTATAGGGGTCTGGCTGGGTCCACAGGAGTCTGGGGGGGAGGTTCATAGGGGTCTGGGGGGGGTCTCTCTGTCCCTGTTCTTTGCCTGGTCTCACCTCTCTCTGGGGGCCTTTCCTGCTCCCTGCACCCCTCTTGTCCCCAGCAACCCATTTTCTGGGTCCGTGCCCCACATCTCCACATCTCCAGGTCCCTCTGTCCTGTATTTCACGGCAGGGGGGAAAGTGCTGTGGGGCTGTGGCCATGGTCACTCTTGCCAACGATCTCCAGCTGGGGCTGGGGCAGCCCAGGCGGGACCCGTGAGGTGATGATTGTGCCCCTGTACTCAGCACTGGTGAGGCCACACCTCGAGTATTGTGTCCAGTTTTGTGCACCTCAATACAAGAGAGATATCGAGGTGCTGGAGCGAGTGCAGAGGAGGGCAATGAAGCTGGTGAGGGGGCTGGAAAACAAATCGTATGAGGAGTGGCTGAGGGAGTTGGGACTGTTTAGTATGAGGAAGAGGAGGCTGAGGGGAGACCTGATCACTCTCTACAACTACTTGAAAGGACACTGTAGAGAGGTTGGTGCTGGTCTCTTCTCACAGGTAATTAGTGACAGAACGAGAGGGAATGGCTTCAAGCTCCAACAGGGTAGGTTTAGATTGAACATTAGGAAAGAATTTTTCACC